TGGATACTAGAAAATGAAGGTTTTAAAAATCCAATTGAAATTAATTCAATAAATGAAACTCGTGGTTTTCTCACCGTTAACGAATCCATCAATATTGGATGGTTAATTGAATTAAATTCTAAAAACGGATATGGAATCGATATTAATTTAAAAGAAATATTTATCGGAACCGGATATAATGATTTTTTACTAATAGGAGGATGTAATAAAAAAAAAAAAAAATTTAAATTTAATGGAACGAATTTTTATTTATAATTAATTCGTCTTAATTTCAGATCCTTTACAAACTTTAGAATATAAAGAAATAAAAATTTTCACCGGAAATTTAACGAGGGAAAAAATAAGAATATTAAATTCGAAAAAATTTTTTATTTTATTCAATGGAAAATCATCTAAAATTACACCGAGATTACGTCTCGAATATCAAAGATGCGGTGAGTATAAGTATGTAAAATTTAAATTTAAATTTAAATTTAAATTTAAATTAATTTTTTTTTAATATTTTACAGGTAATTCATACGAAATAAATAATCCGTCGACGGAAAAACCCGTTAAAAAAGAAACGGTTTATCAAATATATTTAAAAGGGAAAAATTTAAATGATTATTCGAACGATACGTTCGCGTTAAAAGTCAAAGAAGGTATTAAAGAAACGGCAAAAAATTATTGCATTAAAAATAATATTAAATTTAACGGTAGCATACCCGTGTACGTACATTTAATTATTATTATTATTATTATTATTTTAAAGGAAAATATCCTCGAAAAAAAAAAGAAATTTTATTTTTTCCATAGAAATGAATCCGTTAACTTTCATCACGTATCTTTATGCCCTTTCGAATGGCCTGATCAAGATATTTGCGCTTTCATCGAACATTCCGTTTATGTATCAGGTGAAAAAGATGTTAAGGAGGTTGCAGATGCTGAATATGAATTAACATCGGAACATTTAGAAGATATGTGGAAAAATTGGAAATTTCCAGAACTTGAAGAATTAGGGATTACGGTTGTTGCATTTATATACGTGAGACTAAATCCATAAATATAATAATTAATTATTATTATTATTATAAATTTAGGTTTTTAAATTACCAGAATTATCTGAAGTTATTTTATGGTGGGCTGTTATCATAGGAGTTGCCGTTGGTTTATCATTAATCGCTTTGTTTTTATTTTGGAAAATAGAAAAAGGAATTAGGTAATCAATCAAATTTTCTTATTTTAATTATTTTAATTAGTTTTTTTTTTTTTAAAGTGAATTGTTTTTGCTTACTTTTAGGAAATTAAGCGTGAAAGCTGTCTTACCTAAAATTGTCAAAACAAAAAATAAATCAAAGACGAAAGTATCGAAACGACAAAAAGTTCCTTCGTTTATGTTAACCGCAGGAACGGGATCGGAAAAAAATTTCAAATCCGAAGAATTTACGTTAAAATTTTGCAACATTGATAATTTACTTAATAATAAATCGGATGTTAATCAAGTTTCATCAGAATCTCCGATAAAAATTGTAAATTTATTTATTTTTTAGTTTTTTTGCATACGTACATAAAAATTAATAATGTTTCTATACTTTGGAAACGACTTTACATAAATTTTTCATCACCTATTGCAAAATACTACTATTTAAATATCAAAAGAAAAAAATGTCTTTTTATTATTTTTCACATTAGGAAATTTTTTAAAAAAAATATTATAAAATTTATTTTTATCCGATTACAATAATAATAATAATAATAATAATTTTATTTTAGATATTGGAGGATTTTTTTTCGGTACGAATAAAGCTTTCGAAGATGATGATGATGATGATATACAAGAAACAACAGTTAATTAGTTGTAAAATTTTGTAATAATAAACATTATCATTATTTTTTTCTTTTATATTTTTTATTACTAACATTAATTAAATTTTACAAAAAATAAGTAAAAAAAATTTTTTTTATTGATTAATAATTAACTTATTTGGCCATCCTAATTTTAATTAACACATTCGTATAAAAAATTGTTCTTGTTGTTTTACAATAAGAATAAAATTTTCTATTAATTATATAAATAAATTTATTTAATTATTAATATTGAAATATTAAAATTTTAACAGTAATAGGAAAAATTTTAAGTAGTACGTTCTAATTATTACAAAATATAAAAAAACTATGTAATTATTTTTATTTGTGACAAAAATTAAAGCTAGAAAAGGTAAAAAAAAAATTTATTGCTTATTGAGCATCATCTTTGCTAACAGCAAATGGTTCTTCGACGGTTTCTGCACCCGAATCAACGATGACGACATCACTTTTTGGTTTGTCTCGTTGATCGGTTGGAGTGCTTTCGATTTGTCTGACAACATCCTAAAATAAAAAAAAAAAAAATCAGGTATCGAAGGGAGATTTTGTTAAAGAAAATTAGTTAGTCGTCAGTCGTTTTTACCATTCCTTCCAAGACTTTTCCAAAAACGACGTGTCTGCCATCGAGCCAAGGGGTTTGTACGGTTGTTATGAAAAATTGTGAACCGTTTGTGTCTTTGCCAGCGTTTGCCATCGACAACCATCCGGCTCCGTAATGTTTTAATTTGAAATTTTCATCGGCAAATTTTTCACCGTAAATGCTTCTTCCTAAAATAAAATAAATTTTTTTTATTTAAACGAAGGAGGGTTTTTTTATAAATTTATTCTTTGGATAAAAAATAATCATCTTACCGCCAGTACCATCTCCTCTTGTGAAATCTCCTCCCTGAATCATAAAATCTTTGATGACTCTGTGAAATTTACTACCCTTGTAACCTTCTCCAACAGGTTTTTTAGCAAGTTCTATAAAATTTTTAGCCGTGATTGGTACGGTTTTACCAAAAACTCCGATAACGACTTTTCCAACTGCATTTTCTCCTATTTTAATGTCGAACCATACCTAAACATATACCCATCTTTATTTATTTTCCTTTTTTTTTTTCAAACATTTGATTAATCACGTGCACGTGCAAGTGTTTATGTTTACAATAAAATTTATTTTTTATTATACGCTTTTGTTTAAGAAAAACTATATTTTTATTATTTTAAAAAACGGTTATTTTCTACGCCATTTTTAATTTAAATTTTAATTTGTGGATGTTCACATGCCAGATCAGTTTGATTTAAATTTAATTTATTGAAATTGATTATTTTCCTTTTAAATTTACAAAACGTTAATTAATCATTTTATTTCATTAAAAGTTTTACTGTAAATAATTTTTAATGAAAAAAAAAAAACTTTAAATAAATGAGATTAAAATAAAAAAAAAATGAAATCTTATTTAGTTTTTAATTAATGTTGCAAATCAAAAATGAAAAAAAAAAAAAAATACAAGTAATTTTAAATAAGGCTACTTTATCCTAAATTCTTTAAAAATAAATATTTTTGATTCGTTCAGCATTTCAGGTACAAAGGAATTTTCAAATAACATTACTAAATAAATTATTTTTAAGCGTTTTTGTAGGCTTCAGTCTGAGGCACTGACCTATTGTTAAAGTATTCATGACCTCACTTAACTTAAAAAGAAAATGTCGGGCTTAAAATAACTATTATTATTATTTTTTTTTAATAAATCAATTCGAATAATTATTTAAAAAAAAACCTCGAGTAAATTTTTTTAATATAAAAATCAATTTTCTGGAATTCTACAACAGGTTACTTACCTTGTCTGTAACTTTTGGTCCTTTGTTAGCAGAATTTTCCGTTCCAAAAGCGGTGCCTAAAATAATTAAAAAGCATATAAAACTAGTAAAAAGGCACATTTTATAGTGCATTTTGAATTTTCCTTCGATAAACTTATAAGTATAAATAATAAAACTCATTCACCACCGCATAACAAAGTAATTTAAACAAGTATAAATACGAAATTATATAGCTATTGGTTGTCGGAAACAAGAACTGACGTGTATATTTTGACAAATGGCGACAATTTTGGAAGGGGTCGCGGAGTGTCGCCAAAAATTTAAATTTTATTTGAGTACGTATATATATATATGTATATATATTAATTTATATTAAATTAAGTAAAATTTGTTAAGATAATTTCTTTTTCATTAAAAAAAGATCATTATTTATTTTATGATAAATATTTATTAAAATTTCTTCCATAATTATTTAAAACTTTATCTTTTTAATTAAAAATTTTAATAAATAGGAAAAAGGAAGTATGTGAGATACAAATTGGGAGATGGGATGAAAAAAATTTAAAAAAAGAATAAAAATCGGTTGAAATTAAATTTAATATGAACAATAAATAAAATATTATGACATTAAAAAGTTAAATTATATATATATATAAATAAAATATGAAATTCTAAACTTTTTTAAACAAAAAAACTGTTTGTATATTTTACACAAGTATTATGATGACAACCAATTTTTTTTATATGAAAACAAAATATATATATATAATATTAATATAATTAATTAATTAATGAGTTTATATTTAATATTATTTCAACATTATATTACTATAAAAATATTATTAAAACAATTAAAACAAAAAAAAAAAAAATTAATTTGAAATAAGTCAGGATTTAAAATTTTAATTTTTTCTAGGCAAATTTTTTTTTTTTTTTTTTTTTCTCTCAAAAAAGGCAATAATTATTATTATTTTTTTTACTCTGTCTCTTTCTAAAAGTAAAGCTTTAAAATTTTTTTTTTTTAATAACCTTAAATTTAATAATTATAATTTTTTTTTTTTTTTTAATAATATTTATAATATTCGATATTAAATTACAAATAAATTTTAGTAAGCAATGAAATTAATAACTAATGAAGTTTTTTTTTTAAAAAAAAAAAAATGAAAATTGTAGATATGTGGCAAATAATCGTCACTATTTTTTTTTTTTTTTTTTTTACAAACGTCAAACATTTATTAATAATAATATTAAAAAAAAAAAAAAAAAATACTCGTAAATATTTTTTTGTTTTTAATAAAATATATATAAAAAAAAAAAAAAAAGAATAATTACAAAGAAGAAGAAAAGAAATTACCAACCATTTTAACGATTTTTCGGGATTTTTTTCGGGAATATGCAACGGAACAGGAACAAATGATGGAGACAAGGACAAAATAAATTTTCTTTGTGAAAGTAGCCTAATTTTGTTTGTGGATATTCTACAATTTCATTTCTAAAATTAAAAAAAAATCAATTTGAAAATATTCACGGACTAGATATTTCTTTATTATTATTATTATTATTATTATTATAAAATTAATATGCATCCGATTTATATATCGCCTTTTCGTTTTTTTTTTTTTTTTTTTTTTTTATTTCAATAAGTTTATACAACAAAAAATATTAGTTTTGAAAAAAATTTTAAATTAAGCACATTTCCGTAAGTACAAACACACATTAATAAATTTTTCAATGTTATTTTGTAAGTGTAACAAAAAAAATTTTTTTTTAATATTTAAATCCTCACTTCATTTATTAAATAATAATAATAATAATAATAAGAAAAAGGCTTTAAAATTTACCATAAGTCGCTTTTAATAGTAAAAAAAAAAAAAAAAAATTTATATAAAATATGCACGATAAGCATATGCATATATATATGGCAGTTGTAATGAATTATTGTTTTGATATCTTATTTTAACATTTTGTATATTTTTATATCGTATTACATCTCCCCCCCTGCCCCCCCCCCATTATGGAAACGATTACTTATAAGTTCATATTTTGCTTATTTATAAAAAAAAATTCCCAAAAAAAAAAAAAAAAATTTTTACTGACTTTTTAAAATATCATCCTTGTAAAAACTTTCGAAAATGTTTTTTTTTTTTTTTTTTGGTAAATTTTAAACAATTTTTTAAATACTTTATAAATCATTTTATATTTATCAAACTTTTCTATAAAATAACTAAAAAATCCCCCCTCCCCGCCTCCCCCCAAAAAAGTAAACCGAGTAAAAAACAAAGTAAAATAAAATAAAAAATAAAAATTGTTCAGAGAATTTAAATTTTCCAACTATTGATTTGTTAATGATAAACAAAATTTTTTGTGTTTTTCGAAAAAAAAAAAATTGATCTTTGGCTCGAAGAAAAATTTTAAAAAAAAAAAAAAAGTACGGGAAAACTATGTGAATATTTAAAAATTTAAGGGATGACGTAGAGTAAAATTACGGTTTTTTTTTTTTTTTTTTTTTTGTTAAAATGGCGACTTTTTAAATCGGAGGCACTAAAATTTTATAATTTTTTTTTTTTTTTTTTTTGGTTAAAATTACTTTAGCCTCAATCGAATATTTTTGTAATATGATTTACACTAATAATTGCTAATTATTTTTTTTTTTTTTTTTTTTTTTAGCTTCGATCCTTTTTTTGCCCCCCATCATAAATAATTATTAAATTTAAATTATTTTTCCCCCTTTCCCTTCCCTCCTTTTTGAGCTTACTTTCTTTGCCTAATTTCGCTTTCCTTTTTGTGATCTGGAGTGGTTTTCCTGCGAAATAAATTAAAAAAAATTTGTTTTAAGATCTTTTCATTCGAATAAAAGAAAAAAAAAAAATTAAAAAAAAAAAAAAAAAGGGAAGACAACTCAACTGTTCTGGACTTCCATCCGTATCGCTTTCATCCAATTCAGTTTTGTTTCGTTTTTTCTCGTAAATTAATATAATAGTGCAAAGAACGACGACTTCCGCGCAAATCCCCAAAAATGGCCACAAAGCAGCCAATTTATCTTTGACTCTGACAAAAGTTGACGATTCCGTTGCATTTGAAAATTTATTTCCAATATTGTAGGCTCCGCACGTGTACGTGTTCCTGTCGTCCATGTTGGCTTCTTCGATTTGTAATATGGATTTGGGTATACCTTTTTCTTTATTTTCCAAAAGTTTGACCCGTTCATCGCTGTCTTCGTATGTTTTGTTTCCTTAAAATAATAATAATAATAATAATACTTACTTCAAACGAATTATCTTTATTAAATCCAAATCGTAAAAATAAATAGAAAAAAAAAAAAAAAAAAAATTTTTTTTTAAATATTTTAATCAGCCTTGAAAAGTTTATCAGTTATATTCAATGTTAGAATTAATCAGTTAACAGTCAGACCTTTTTATTTAATCTTTTTTTTATAATTGTTTGACATCAATTGATCAATTTTTATATTTAAAAAAAATCATCGTAGATTTATAAAATATGGTAGGAAAAATGGGGGGGAAAATTGTTGACAATTATTTACCAATTTTCCAATAAACAATAGGCACTGGATCACTCAAAATAATACAAGTTAAAGTTAATTTTTCTCCTTCAACGACGCTTGTATGAGGTGGCAATTTAACATACGGCTTGACTGTAAAAAAAAAAAACAAAAAAATTTTTTTGTTTGTTTAATAAGGTAAAAATGAAATTTCCACCCCCCTCCCCCCATCCCCCATTACGATTATTATATGTTAACCATTATTAAATTATTTGTTAATAGTTTCAAAACCAAGTTTTTTCAAATCATCATCACATCTTTTTTTTTTTTTTTTTTATTAAAATGGATTTTGTTTTAATATTTAGGTTTAAAGTGTTGGTTTGCACGATTGGGAAATGGGTGATATAGGATTTTTGGATAGGAATGAAAAGGACGAAGAGGGAGGGCAATGTGACATACAAAGGTGATGCAGAACAGAGATGATGAGTCAAAGGTCAAGAGCAAAATAATTACTGTATTGAATATTACTTACAAACAACTTGAAAATTTAATCGAAGTTCTGAATTGTTTATCTTATTCGTAAAAACGCAAGAATAATTTCCGGCATCTGTGTCGAGTGCCTTTGAAAGAATGAACCTGTTTTCCAAAGGTTTAATTTCAACCCTATTATCCGAGGTTTCACTCATAGGTTTATCATCTTTCAACCATTTAACGGTATAACTATCCGCTACGGATTCATCCGTTAAATTGCATTGTAAATTCAACGTCGATTTGTACTCGATGACTTTGTACCAATCGAAGTCGAAATTACCTACTATTTTTACTACAGAACCCGCTGAAATTAAAATACAAAGTAAAACAAAAAAAAAAAAACAATTTTATTTCATTTTAATAAAAAAAAAAAAGTTTATAACTCGCGGAGAAAACGCAATCGAGACGATACAAAAAGCTAAGCATGATGAAATTAGATTTTTTTTGTTTCCTTCGATAAGGGGGTAAGGGGGAGACATACTGGGGGTAAATACTCAAAAAATTTTCGTGCTCCTCCTGTGCAAAATCATATGACCAAAAACTTACCCTCGCCAATACACGAATCACAATCCTAGTAGAGGGTATTAGTGCAAATTTTGAAGCATTTTTATTTTAGCTGCGAAAAGAGCATGGTGGTAGGTTGTAACTAAACAAATTAAAAAAGAAAACGGACATTGATTTTAATCACGTACATAAAAAAAAAAAAAAAAAAGTAGTTAAGCATGGTTTGCAAACCATTTTTAAAAAAAAAAAAACTAAGGTTAGCAAAAACCATGTTTCTGATAAAAAGATGAATGAAGAATTCATGGTTAAGTAGTATCGAAACTTCGTTTTGATAATTTATAATTTAAATTTCGCAGGTTTGCTATGGTACTCTTAAATGGAATTAAACTAACTAAACTACTATTCTATTATCTTTTGACTAAATATCAAACGGACTGTAAACATAAGAGTAAAATCCAAACAATTAATATGATAATTAATGAATTCTTCAAGCTCGATAATGAGCATTTGGATTTGAATCTTTGTGAAAGATTCATATAAAAAACCTTACCGCCGACAACGTTGACGGTATGACCCGGACCCCCGAAGGAACTACATGTATACTCCCCACTATGATAATCACGCGCCTTTCGTATCATCAATTTTCCTATGATGTAACCCCCACCCGATTCATCTTCGCTGAGAGACATCAATGTGTTTTCATCTGTGTAAAGTGTAACACCATTTCTTTGCCATTTCATTGTGTCGAAAACGGTGAGTTTACAAATAATTTGAAAGGGATTTCCCTCAACCACCATGCTCTCTCCTTCATAAGTCACTCGATTTGAAACTATTTTTTAAAAAAAGCAAAATAATAAAGCAATAAAAAATAATAAGGCTATTTACTGTCTTGGTTCCATGATACAATTACTACATGATTCAAATATTACTACAATGAAATAATTAAATACAACTTTGTACTTTGAACACTTTGTACAATTGATTAATTGTCAGTGTACCTAACAAAACTCAATTTATCTATTCGCCAAATATAACATTATGGGCTACATTTATGCAACAGATAATTTTATCGATATTTTTAATACAATAAAATATTATTCCCTAACTAATTATTTATATCTTATGCTTAAAAACACTTTTTTCATCATAGGCTTTCAGATATAAAATAATTATAATAATTTAATGAGTTAATAATTGTAAAATTAAAATCGACAAAAAAATGATATAAAAATTTATTATCATATAAATAATTTTTGTGTGCAATTCATGTAAGCAATTAATATTGTAAAAGATTTTAAAAAATATATTCTATAAATCAGAAGAATGTGTGATAAATAATAATTTTGGATATATATAATTAAAATAAAACGTTTTTAAAAAATTTTATAACTAAAAATAGAAAGTATATACGTAATTTATATTATTGATCAATAACAATAATAACGGAAAAGCTAATTATTAATCGATCATTTTTAATTACGTACCCACGTCCTAAAAATACTTTGTACATATTAATAAATATCAATAATATATGTTTTAAATATCATTTTATTCGTGTTCAAAAAATTTCAATTGATATTAATTCAATCAAAATTAAAATATTTAAATAATAATAAAAATTCTAAATCTCCACGGTTTTTTTTTTTTTTTTTTTCAATTTCTTTTTTCGATAGATTTACGATCATTAATAAAAAAAAAAAATTTTTTGCCAAATAAAATTAGTTTCATACCTGCACCAGTAGACAATATAACAAGTAAAATAGAAAACAAACTTAATATGCAATTTCTACAAGAATATAATGGTTCCATATTTGTAATATAATGTCTTTAAGTAGCTACTGTAATATTTTTTTTACATTAATTTACAAGTGATAACGACTAAACTTGGGTAAAATTACGAAGTGATGAAATTAGGGCTCGTCAAGCACAATCTGCGCTGGTGCAGATTAGCAGAAGCTTTTTTCCCATTTTGTCGCCAATTTGTTAAATTATTACATCGTTAGTCATGTTCGTTAAAAGTGTTTATAAACCTTTACATTTACTTATTACAAATACTTTTTTTTTTTTTTTTAAATGTTAAATAAATGCATCATCAATTAAAAATATTTATTTCAACATAGAATTCCTCATTTAATTCAATTAGAATTCGTTGAATATAGAATTAAATTTAGAAATTGTTGTCTTGAAAATTTTGGTAATTTTTAAAAATAAAGCATGGGATCCAGAGAAGTTGTCACTTTTCAATTTGGAAATTACTCAAACTTTGTTGGAACCCATTGGTGGAATATCCAGGTTGTCATTTTTTAAATAATTTTTTGCCTTTTGAACTAAGTTTTTTAATTTCATAAAACTTTTTCTAATTGGATTTGCATACAATTGTGTAAAATTACGGTATTTTGTTGTCAAATAATTTTTTAACATCTACTTATAAAGAACACTCTGTTTATTAAAATTTAAAAAAAAGTCTTTTTCTGTGATTTATATATTGCTAAAGTAAAGAAAACCTCAATTAAATCAAGACATTATTACATTATTTAATAACTGATTAAAATTTTTGTAAAATATTGCTTTTAAGTAAACTGATAAAATATTTTCGGTTTCAGGAATCATATTTTCAATATGATGAAAGGAACCCATCAGATATTAATCATGATGTTCTTTTTCGAGAAGGAAAGACCAGTAGGGCAAGTGAATTTGTTATTATTTTTTAAAATTAATTTTTCTCTCTTAAATTAAATTTAATATATATAAATTTTGTAATTAACAAAAATTAAGTGCATTTAGTATTGTTCACTTACATTTATTCCACTTTTCATAATTTCATTTATCGAAATTAAATTGATAATTTTTAATACATTGTTTAGGGACAGGCAACATTTACTCCGAGACTTATTTTGGTTGATAAAGCTGAAAATATGATTAATATTCCAATTTTAAGTGAAGCACCAGAGGAATCTACAAGTGCAGTTTCTAATGATGACCAAACAATTGCAATTCAGGATCAGAATTTACCTGAGAAACATGAATTTATTAAGGATTTGGAAAGAATTGAAAAAGGACAACAAGTTGAAATAAATAGTAAAGATTATAACTTTGGTGAAACAGTTAGAACTTGGTGTGATTTTTTAAAAACCAAATACCACCCCAAATCAGTATGTAGTATCCCAAGTTATTTTGAAATGGATGTTTTTCATTCTGGTGTAGACATTTATGGGGTTTTGGAAGAAGATTTAATTGAAAAAATTCGTAGTTATATGGAAGAGTGTGACAATTCTCAAGGTTTTCAAGTTGTTGTAGATGCAACAGATGGTTTTGGAGCTTTGGCTGACAGGACTTTAACTCATATTGAAGATGAATATCCATCTAAAAGTGTTCTTACCATTCCCGTTATACCCAACCATTTTGAAAATTCTTTACCCATAGACAATATTAAACGTACCATAAATATTATGCTTACCTATCAAAAATTAAGTGAGAATTCAAGTCTTGTTGTTCCTATAGGAACCAATAGTAGTGCGTGGAAAACTTTAGGACCTCCTATCGATTATCCAAATATTTTATACAATCCTGTTAATCGTTATCAAACATCTGGAATTTTAGCATCCTTTTTAGACACTGCAACATTGAAATATCGCTTAAGAGATGATTACAATTACATGCATGATTTAGTGTATGGTTTAAACTATTATAACAAAAAAATTTGTGCTGCCAGTATGAGTCTACCATTTCCCATAGGTCCTGATTCTTATTTATTAGATACCTTAGAAAATTTAGATGACGCAATGCCACTTTGGAGTCAAATGACTCCCGGCTGTGAAATTAGCGATAATACAATTTTGTATCAAAGAATAAGTGTAAGAGGTATACCAGTTTCGAGGCTTCGAAATCCTAAAATTAATAAAGAAAACAGTAGAGCTTATTCTTGCTCCACCATCGAAGAACTTATTCATTTATATCTTTCGTTTAGATTGACAACCATATCCGATGTAACGTCTGCTAACGTTCCTTTAAAAACCGCAGTGCCTTTTCCCAAAATATTTTCTCCTCATGTTTCTCCTTTGGGAGCGGTCGACGAAAATTCAACCAGAATTGAAAATAACGAAGTAAATTCATGTCCCGTAATAACGGGTATTCATTGTTGTAAAGGAATCGGTCGTATGTTGGATTCCCTTCATAAATGCGTCAAAGCCGTTAATATAAAACGTTTTCATCATTTTTTGGGATCCCACATGGATTTAGATGAATTCAATGAAATTCTTGAAAAAGTTCTTGCGATGGGATACGGTTATGCAAGTGATGTCGAACTTCGGTAGTATCGTTAAAAAAAAAATTCATTTATCTTTAAATTAAATTTTGTATGGTTTGCTTAGGAAGAAAATTTATTACCTTAATTACATTGCCAATTTTTATCATGAAAAGGCTGAGCTTTATTCTATTAAAAAATAAAATTTTCATCAATTGTTTTATTTTAAATTAAGATTTTTGTAATTGTTTCACATTAATTGTCATTTAAATCTTCAAAAAAAAAAAAAAAAAAAAAAGAAAATGTAATTAATTATAATAACAAAATAATAATTATTTATGATATTAACATAACATTGAAAACAATGATATTTTTACATATATAAGTGTACAATATAAAATATGGAGTTTCCTTGAATTTCATTTAAATTTCTCTTTAATTTTTTTTATTGATTAATAAACGAAAATGATTTGTTAATCTTGTATTTAAAACGTGCCTTATAAACAAAAAAATATTTTTTTTTTTATTAAATTAATTTTTGTATAAAATTATTTTTTTTGTTTGTATGTAACGCACTAACTCATAAAGTATTAAAAATTTGACAGTATTTTTTTTTTTTTTTGTTATTGTTAATTATTAATTTGAAATGTTAATATTTTATTTAAAATAAATTAAATAAAATTAAGTTTTTTTTTTTTTTTTTATTTACTATCTACATAATAAATTTTATTGATTAATACTAGAATACCAAAAAAAAAAAAAGTTATGAAAATAATTATTATTTTAATAAAAAAATTGTTTAAATAAAAATTTTATTTAACGTTTTTTTATTTTAACCGGAATTCCATTTTGTGGCCTTAATATTAATTCAGGTATTTTTTTAACATCTTCTAAATTTCCAACCGGTAAAAATTTATAATTATATATCAAATTTGATAAAATAACTTTTTCTTCGTATGTTGCAAATTTTTGTCCTAAATTATAAAAAAAAATAAATTAATAAATATTATTTAAAAATGTTATTTGATATAATATATACGTGTACCTATGCAATTTCTTGGTCCAGCACTGAATGGAATATATGCAAAAGGATGCCTTCCTGACATATTTTCCGGTAAAAATCTATCGGGATCAAATACATCAGGATCGGGAAATACTGTTGGGTCTCGATGTAATGCATAAATATTAATAACGGTGTTGGCTCCTTTTGGTATGGTATACTCCCCTGAAAAATCAAGTAATATTTTTATTATTACCAAAAAAATTCATTTTATTCAAAGATTCATGAGTAATACCTAAGTGAATATCCTCTTCTGCTATTCTACCTATGCTAGTAACACTAGGACACAATCTTAAGGTTTCTTTAATTACTCTATCCAAAAGTTTCATTTCCGATAAATCTCCTAACGTTAAATTTTCTTCTTGTTTATTTTCAAAAATCGTTTTTACTTCTTCGTAAACTTTTTCTTGTATTTCCGGATGATGGCTCAACATTAAAATTGCCCAATTTACACCGGCTGCTGTCGTGTCGTGTCCCTAATCAAATTAAACCTGATTATTTTGTTCTTTAGGTTCGATTCAAATAAAAGTCGTACCTCGAACATAAAAGTATCAACTTCTTCACGAAGTTCCATATCGGTTAAAGGTGTGGATGCTTCGTTCATGGATGCTTTTAACAAAAGATCCAAAAATGAAAGTTTCTTTCTATCCGGAGAATCGAAATTTTTCGAGGATTCATTTTCGAATGATAATTTTCTTTTTTGTATCACGCGATCTGTGAAACTGTGAACAATGTCGAGATGTTTTCTATTTTCTTTTCCGTGACTCGTTAAATTATAAATAAAATCAGGATGAAGCCAAACTCTTCCTGTTCTTTCGACTACCAGCGCGGAAAGTCTGTTGGAAAAAAAATAATTTATTGATAAGAATTATATAAACGTTTATTGCAGCAGAGGTCATTGACCTTTTTTTACAAGTTCTTCTTCTTCTCACCTGTAAACAGATTTAACGTATTCGCTTTGACTATCAGATTGTGCGTTGACTTTTGTACCCATGGCTGTTTCTGTAAAAAAATATTTTTTATTTATTTTAAAAACAAAATTGTGAAAATTGATAAGAAACATAATAATAATAATAATAATAATAATAATGTCACATTTTATTTTTGACATAGAAAAATAAATAAATGTTTTAAATTTATAATTCACATTTATTAAGTATATTTTTCTTACCGCAAATAATATCTAATAAACATAATGTTATATATTGATAAATGTCGATTACTTCATTCGTGTCAGCCATTTTATTTAATTTATTAATTAATATATTTGAATTTTCTTGGAAAATTTCAATGAAACTTTGCAAAACGGTAAAATGAAAGGATGGAGTTATGAGTTTCCGGTGCGATGCCCATTTTTTTCCATGAGCAGTTAAAAGTCCTGTACCTAACCAGGGCTGAACAAATTTATAAACGAATGATTTTTCCATATGTTTCGTACCTTTTATCACTACCTGGAAAATTTATAAAAATTATTACAAAGAATTTTTTTACAATTAGAAAAAAAAAAAAATTTTAATCATTAACTAACTTCGATTTCTTTTGCTCTCGATAAAAATACTGATGGATTTCTTCCGAACCACATTTTAAAAATGGGCCCAAATTTTTTCCTTCTCTTCATAGAATTTTCCAAAAATTCTGCAGGGGGGGGGAAAAAAACAAATCGTTTATTAATTTTAATAATGATTAAAAATAAACGACAATAATAATAATAATACTCTACTATCTTTTGGTTGAAGGACTTCGATGATGTTTCCAAAAATGGGTAAAGCCAACGGACCGGGAAGTTTATTGATGTGCAAAGTTTTTTTATCATTTTGAAAAAATTTCCAAAAAATCAAAAATAATAAAATGGTTATCGTCAGTGAAAAAATATCTAGACTGTGTTAAAAAAAAAAAAAAGAAGAAAATTACATAAACAAAATTTTGATAATTGATAAGAAGAAGAAAAACAAAAACAAGGCAATAAAAAAAAAAAAAATTATTTTTACTAAATGTCAAGGTTCCTTCTTTTTTTTTGGTGTCATTTTTTAATTTTATGTAATTATAAAAATTTATGTCCTTGTTTATTAATTATTATTAATTAATAATTAAATGCAATCTTATTAATCACATTAAATAACTTATTATAATTTAAATAAAAATAATAATAATAATGTCGCTCGCAAATTTCTGACTTGTTATCAGTACGCAACACAAAAATTAAATATAAATAAAAAATTTAAAAAAAAAAAAACAAAATTAATAAATTAATTTAATTATTATTAAAATAAATAAATAAATAAAACTTACTCTAGAAAATGGCGTAACATTTTTTTTTTTTTACCTTTGTTTAAGGTAAGCCGATGAAATAACTAATTAATTATTATCATTTTTGTTTTACACTTAATGAAAAACTTTTTTCTCTCTCTCTCTCTCTCTATTTTTCGTTTACATAAACTTTAATTATCATCATCATCATCATTATTATCAATGCAATTAGAAATCGGAGTTTTAGACAACTTTTAATTTTGATATTATTGTTTTTATATTTTAAGGTTTGATTTAATATTAATTGTTTTAAAAAAAGAGAGAGAAAGAAAATAATTATCTTATTAAAATTAAAACCGTTAATGATTTTTATTTACAAATTATTATTATTATTATTATTGATAGAATTATTCGGATCGATATCGATTTTTCGAAAATTTACGTTTCATGTTATTGCAATTTAATAGTTCTGGTCGTCTTTGATTACGTAACAAGTTCCATACATTAAAAATTAAATTGATAAGATTAATTAAAAGAAAGTTTATTAACTATATATATGTACGTTAATGATCTCCGACCAGAAGGTAAAGTTCAAAGGTTATTTAAATAATTATTTTCAATTACGTTCAATTACAATAAAAAAAAAAAAATATAATTGCTGTTGCTTTATTATTAATTTTTTTTTTTTTTTTGCGTACATAGATTTATTTACATCCATAATTTTTATGAGAATTTATTTACCTATTATATATTTTTACAAATATTCCATTTTTAGGCCTTAAAACTAAATCTGGAATTTTAATGACGTCATTTAATTTTCCAACGGATTCGAATCTGTAGTTATATATCAAATTTGATAAAATTACTTTTTCTTCGTACATAGCAAATTTTTGCCCTGGAAAATTTAAGGTAGGGCCTTAATGATGAAATAAGTTTTTTTTAATAATAATAATAATAGACAACAAATTACTCACCGATGCAATTTCTTGGTCCGGCACTAAAAGGTATATATGCAAATGGATGTCTATCCGCAGAATTTTCCGGTAAAAATCTATCGGGATCAAATACATCCGGATTCGGAAAAACTTCGGGATCTCTATGAAGTGCATATATACTAATAACAGCACTCACACCTTCAGGTATGAAATATTCACCTGGAAAAAAATTTATTTTTAAAGGTACACTACTTAATGCATCCTTTTACAAATTGTAAAATTTATACCTAATCGTGTATCGACTTCTATTCGTCGGCCTATCATCGGAACACTTGGATGCAACCTTAAGGTTTCTTTAATGACTCTTTCTAGAAGTTTCATTTCTGATAAATCTCCTAATGATAAACCTTCTTCTTGTTTATTTTCTAATACGGTTTTCACTTCTTCGTAAGCTTTTTCTTGTATTTCCGGATGATGGCTCAACATTAAAATTGCCCAATTTACTGCAGCTGCTGTCGTATCGTGCCCCTAATCAAATTAAACCCGATTATTTTGTTCTTTAGGTTCGATTCAAATAAAAGTCGTACCTCGAACATAAAAGTGTCAACTTCTTCACGAAGTTCCACATCCGTCAAAGGAGTAGATGCTTCGTTTGAAGATGCTTTTAACAAAAGATCCAAAAATGAAAGTTTCCTTTTTTCCGAGGGATCGATGTTGGTGGAGGATTCATTTTCAAACAATAATTTTCTAGTTTGTATCACGCTGTCGGTAAAATTATGAACAATGTCGAGATGTTTTCTATTTTCTTTTCCATGACTCGTTAAATTATAAATAAAATCAGGATGAAGCCAAATTCGTCCCATTCTTTTTACAATCAACGTCGACAATCTGAAAAGGTTTTGAGTTTAAAAAAGCTTATTACTATTAATTACATAAATTTTTTAAAATAGGAAATCAGTATAAGAATCGTACCTGTACACAGATTTAACATATTCGTTAGTTTTGTCTGTTTGTGCATTAATTTTGGTACCCATGGCAGTTTCTGCAAAAAAAAAAAAAATTTTAATATTCATTTAGCTAATTATTAATAATAAAATAAATTACCACAAATAATATCCAGTAAGCACAAAGTAATAAATGGATAAATATCAATGACTTCATTCGTGTCAGCCATTTTATTTAATTTATTAATTAATATATTTGAATTTTCTTGAAAAATTTCAATGAAACTTTGCAAAACGGTAAAATGAAAGGATGGAGTTATGAGTTTCCGGTGCGATGCCCATTTTTTTCCATGAGCAGTTAAAAGTCCTGTACCTAACCAGGGCTGAACAAATTTATAAACGAATGATTTTTCCGTATTTTTCATACCAGTTATTAAATCCTGAAACAAAAAAAAATTTTTTTTTTTATAAAAAATAAATAAAATAATAAATTAATAAAATTAATAATTAATTTTGTTTTACCCACCTCGACTTCTCGAGCTCTCGTTATAAATATACCATATCTAGGTCCGGCTCTCATTTTAAATATTGGTCCATATTTTTTCTTTCTTATCAATATATTATCCATAAATACTTAAACAAAAATGATTAAATTTTTATTAATTAATTAATGGATTAATAAATAATTTAAAAAAAAAATTTTTTTTTTGTTTACCTTCTACCGGTTCGAGAATTTCGATGTTACCAATTAATGGATATGCAAACGGTCCCGGTAATTTATTTATTATTTTTGTTTTTTCATCTTCTCCAAACAATTTCAATAAAATAAAAATTAATAAAATAATTAACGGAAATGAAGCATAATTTAATCTAGAAAAAAAAAAAATTTATTTGATTTGTCGACTCGGGTATTACTCAAAATAAAAAATTATTTAAATTTTTATGTAAATTTAATTACATTATTAACCTATTTTTAACATAAATCGATTGTAAAGGTCATTTAATTTATTAAAAATAAAATTATCCGTTTTATTATCATTATTATTAATACTTTTCCCTTATAAATTAAAAAAAAAATAAATTTTTTACGTACCCTAATAATTGCAACATTTTTATTTATTTATTTATCACTTATTACTTTATTTATTTGTGCAACCGGACATTACAATAATATACTCTTCTAATCATTTGGTTTTTTTTTTATGTGTTAAAGAGTAGAAGCGTGTTGAGTAGAAACGGGAGTTTTAAAACGAAAAAAATGTTTTTTTTTTGTTTATTTATTAAAATAATAATTTTAATAATTTTTTTAAATTTTTATTTTTTGGATTTTTTTGCTTTTTGAGATTTATTGTTAAAATGTGTAGGGGGGGAGGTACATTTAAAATTTTGATCATTTTTATTGTTCTTATTATTATTTAATATTAAGTTTTTGTGTGTCATTTTATAAAAACGGTGTGGCAAAAAAAAAAAAAAATTAAAGAAAAATTATGAAGGAATGTGAAATGAAAAAGGATTTGAAAAATGGATTCATACAACTTTCAAAGGAAATTATTACAAATTAGTCACGAAACAACAATTTTTTCGCAAATTATTTACAATTGTCACTGATTATACTACGTCAACAAAACATTTACTAGTATAAAGTCAGTAAAAATTAAAAAAAAGTTTTATGATGACGTAACCATTTGGTTTTCAGTTGTTTTTATATAAAAATGCCTAATTATTATAAATATATATTTGTATAAATTATTTTCCATCATTCAATTTCTTTTATAAACTTTGACTGGTATACCATTTTTAGGACGTAAAACAAGTTCTGGAATTTTAATTACATCTTCTAATTTTCCAACGGATTCGAATCTGTAGTTATATATCAAATTTGATAAAACTACTTTTTCTTCGTACATAGCAAATTTTTGCCCTGTAAAATTTATTATTATTATTATTATTATTAATAAAATATATACAAGTATATAATATTTTTTTTTATTATACCTAACGATAAATACTCACCGATGCAATTTCTTGGTCCGGCACTAAAAGGTATAAATGCAAATGGATGTCTATCCGCAGAATTTTCCGGTAAAAATCTATCAGGATCGAATACATCCGGATTTGGAAAGACTTTGGGATCTCTATGAACTGCATAAATAACTAAAACGGTGTTACTTCCTTTTGGTATTAAATAATCCCCTAAAAAAAAAAAAATTTAATGTTTTTATTTTATTTTATTTACATATATATAAACAAACGTATTCATCAATATTTAAAATTAAAGTAATTATTTGATTAATTAAATATGTATGTCATTTAAAATTAAAGAATGAATTTGGCAAGAATCCCTCTAAAAAAAAAAAAGGATTTTCCCTTTTCTGTTTTACATCATAAAATGTTTACCTATTTGTGTGTCCTCATCAATATGTCGTCCTATTGTCGGAACACTCGGGTACAACCTCAAAGTTTCTTTAATTATTCTTTCCAGGAGCGCCATTTCCGATAGATCTCCTAACGTTAAATCTTTTCCTTTTTTATTTTCAAATATTGTTTTTACTTCTTCGTAAGCTTGTTCTTGTATTTCTGGATGATGACTCAACATTAAAATTGCCCAATTTACACCGGCTGCTGTCGTATCGTGTCCCTAATCACATTAAACCTTTTTATTTTGTTCTTTTGGTTTGATTCAAAGAAAAGTCGTACCTCAAACATAAAAGTATCAACTTCCTCACGAAGTTCCACGTCCGTTAAAGGTGTAGATGCCTCATTTATGGATGCTTTTAACAAAAGGTCCAAAAATGAAAGTTTCCTCTTTTCCGAGGGATCAAAGTTGGTTGAGGATTCATTTTCAAACAATAATTTTCTAGCGCGTATCACGCTGTCGGTAAAATTATGAACAATGTCGAGATGTTTTTTATGTTCCCTTCCGTGACTTGTTAAATTATAAATAAAGTCAGGATGAAGCCAAGCTCGATTTAATCTGTGTATTATCAAAGATGATAAACTAAAAAGGAAAAAGAAAATTTAAAAACATTAACATGGATTTTCCTTATGAAGGAGAATATTTTTTGACTTACCTATAAACAGATTTAACGTATTCGTTTTCACTGTCCGTTTGTGCATTGATTTTAGTACCCATGGCTGTTTCTGTTAAAAAAAAAATATTTCGTCTTCAAGTTATTACTTAATATCCATTGTTTATTGTACTTTTACCTACCACAGATAACATCCAGTAAGCATAAAGTAATAAATGGAAATATATCTACTGCTTTGTCCGAATCCGCCACATCATTTAATTTATTAATTAATATATTTGAATTTTCTTGGAAAATTTCGATGAAACTTTGCAAAACGGTAAAATGAAAAGATGGAGTTATGAGTTTCCGATGCGAAGCCCATTTTTCACCATGTGCCGTTAAAAGTCCAGTTCCCAGCCATGGATGTACAAATTTATAAACGTGAGATTTTTCCAAATGTTTCATACCCTTAATTAAATCCTTAAGAAAAAAAAAAAGACACAAAATTTTACGTTTCTTTTAATTACAGTATAATTGCCCTTAGGTTTACGTCATATTTAAATACCTCGATTTTTTGAGCTCTTGTTAAAAATACACCGACAAGGAAACCAGCACGCATTTTATAAACCGGACCATATTTTTCTTTTCTTTTTAATATGTTTCCAAGAGTCACTGTAAAAAAAAAAAAAAAAAAAAAAAAAAAATTAATAATAAAAATTTTTAATAACGTTTTTTATGAAAAAAAAAAAGGTTTTGATAGTTTACCTTCTATCGGTTCAAAAACTTCAACGTTTCCTAATAGCGGATATGTGAAAGGACCCGGAATTTTCGACAAAATGTATTCCTTTTCTATTAATTTAAATAATTTCCAAATGAGAAAAATTACAATTATGCTTAATATAACGGAAAACATGTTTAGCCTGTCAACGAAAAAAAATTTCAATTGACTTATTATAATAATTATTATTATTATTTTGTTTTTTTTTAAATACTTACCCGAAAATTTGTAACATTTTTTTTTATTTTTTTAATTTAAATAAATAAAAAACGTAATAAAAAAAAAATAATTTTTTTGATAAACTTTTTCTGCACGCATCAAAGTCTCCTCTTAGATGCCTACTATTTTCAATTAATGACGAATAAAATTCAAAACAACAACAATAATTAGAGACGGGAGTTTTATAAATATTAAATATTTTCCGCAAATTATCGTTTTAACACAAATGAATTTGATAATAAAATATTTTTTAATAATAATAATTACTTCGATTCAACCTTTATTTATTTATTTATTTTTATTTTAATAAAAATTTAAAAAAAAAAAAAAACTAAACTTCACGCATTGTAAACTCCAATAATTATTCTTCTGGTAACAAAATTATTTGCTAAAAAAAAAAATTCAAGGTCTTCGAAAAACCTGTTTTAGAATCACTTTTACTAGTACAAAGTTCAAAAAAAAAAAAATAATTGTAGCAAAAAAACATTTTAAACTATGAATAATATATTATGATTAAATATTAAAAATTATTTTTATACCTTAAAATAAATGCATAAAAATACGAGTCCAATCGTATGCAATACGAAGGATTTCATACGTAAAAAAAAAAAAAAACGGCGTTAATGCGTTTATGTAAAATTACATCGATGAGATCGTTTATCATTTGTGTATTTACTCTCAAAGCAAACAATTTTTTTTTTTGGTTGTTATATATATTTATAGGAATTAAGATAAACTTTAAAATTTAATTTTTATTAATAAAAAAAAAAAAAATTATAAACAATTTACTGGTTGCGAAGAGTAAAATTGAATTCGTTTGTTAAAAATGTCCTCTCCTCACTCGTTTGCCTTCAAAATGATGAAATAAATGAAAAATAAATTTGACTTTTTTTACTTCATGACAGTAAAATTTACCCTGTAAAATTTATTATTATTATTATTATTAATAAAATGTATATACATTTATATGATTTTTCCACCCGTATACGGATACTTCAATTAGTTTATACACCATTTTTCAGGATGATATCCGGTTTGTTGGCACAGTTCTGTCAGTCAAGAATTTGTTGATCTAAGACCTTTGGAACCGCTGTGGTCGTACCATTCCTTGGGTAATCCATCCACATTCGTGACAGATATTCCAGTGGAGATATTGACAAAGTTTATTGTGCCTCTCCAGATATTCATGTTTTGTCAATATCTGACATCCTGAAATTAAATGATCAATTGTTTCCGCCAGAGATTTGCAAATTCGGCACATACCATCATAGCAGACCTTAAGAATTACCTTTTCTTAGTTGTAAGTTCGCAAGGCTTGGTCCTGAAGGCTTCCGTTTCAATTTTCCACGCCGTAGTCAATTGTACGCCCTCTTCTTAATAATATCTAAAACGTTCATCCTTTTTAAATATTGTTATTATTATTATTATTATTATTATTATTATTATTATTATTATTATTATTATTATTATTATTATTATTATTAATTTTTATTAAGTAATACGGGAAATGACCTTTGATAACTAACATTGATTATTTTGTCATATATATTAATTATTATTATAATTAATAATAATTACATTTTTTCTTGATATTAAGTGTGGGGAGGAGGGATCCCCGTCGTTTATTCTTTTACCACGTCACATGAAACATTCGATGTCTTTTTTTTTTTTTTAAATAAATCAAAAACACTTTTAAAAAAAAATATTTATGGCATCTCATCGGACCATATTTTTTTTGTTTTGTTTTTATTTGGTTCTTCTTTTGTTTTATTCATGATTATTCTTTTCTGTTTTTTTTGTTTTTTTCCTTTTTACTGCTTAGCCTTTTACTACTTTACTTAATATTTTTCCTTTTTATTTTTTTTCATATTGTTATAAATATTTAAAGAAAATGATTGTAAACCGGAATAATAAATAAAAATAAAAACAAAAAAAAAATCGCTTTTTCTTTTTATTATTATTACTACCGCATCCAGACTTTTTCTATTTTTTTTTTTTTTTTAATGTATAATGCTCATGTTTAAATTTTTGATTCGATCCAATCTCATCATTCTAAGTTTAACAGTAATAATAATAATAATAATAATTACAATGGTAAAATTTTAAAAAGAATAATGATAATTAAAATGTTTACAAAGTAAAAAAATAATTTTTTTTTAAACGTAAAAATTAATGTAATCAATCATTTTTTGTAAACATGCGGTTTACCTTGTTTGTAATCAATAAAATTTTCATTTAAAATCCGTTAGAAAACAAAATTCACGCACATTTTTTTTTTTTGTTTTGTTTTACCCTCATCAAAATTTTTGAGCATTTCAAAAAAAAACTGATTCATTCACGGGGAAGAGAGAGAGAGAGAGGGAGGGGAGAAAGGGTGGGGAACGTGAGTTGTAAAAAAAAAAAAATCACAAAGTATTTTAAATTATTAAAAAAAAAAAAAAACATTTTTGCGGTTTTGTTTTTTATTGTTTATGTTTTTTTTTATTGGAAAAATCTTTTGGCCCAGGAGAATAATTTTATTTGCGCAAAAAAATAAGCAAAAATTATTTCCCCGCAAATTTCCAAAAAAAAAGAAAAAAAGAAAAAAATTTTTTAAAAATTTTCTTAAAATATTTTTTTAAAAAAATTTCAAAATTTAAATAAAAATATTTGTTTAATATTTTTGCGCTTGCAATTTTCTCTCTCTCTCTCTCTCTTTATCTCTCTCTTTATCTCTCTCTTTATCTCTCTCTCTTATCTCTCTCTCTCTCTTTATCTGTCTCTGTACAACCTTTTGTCGGTAATAATTTAAAAAAAAAAAAAAAAAAAAAAAAACAAAAACATCAAAGTGAAAAATGGCCGAGCCTTATTTCAAACAGATCTAAAAAACGAGAACGGAAGAATAGTAGCCTTCTCGGGTATTCTATCAAGCATATCCGGTTCCTGTTTCCTTTGAAATGTTTTAACAACTAAAAAAAAAAAAAAAATAACGGTTTAATATAAAAAAAAAAGAAAGTATGAGGTATATAAAAGAGGGTTAAATCTTTTAGAAAAGCGGATTTTATCCAGTATAAATTATTATTACATTTTATTTTACATTGTTCGGGTTTTTTTTAAAAAAAAAGATACAAACAAACAAACAAACAAACAAACGCAAACAAAAACGCGGATTTATATATATATATATATATATATATTATCAAGTTCTTATTATTATAAACTTGAAAAAAAAATCGCTTAAAGATTTGGATAAAAAAAAAAAAAAAAAAAAAAAAAAAATTTTCCGCGTCAGAAACTTTTTTTTTTTTTTTTTGAGGATCCGGAGGGGGGCGTGAAGGGGAATTGGGGAAGGGGAGTAGGAGGGGGAGGAGAAAAAAAATGAAAACTTGGCAAAAATTGAACTTTACTATTTTGAATATAAATTTTTTTTTGTTTCAAAAAAAAAAAAATAAAATTACATCCGTGTGAATTTTACGCGCCAATAATCTTTTGCCATGTTTTTATGTCGTCCACTCTCTCTTGTTTTTTTTTTTTTTTTTTTTTTTCGTTTGGTTCTCTCAACGACAGCAAAAAAAAAAAATTTCAATGTTTAACAAACGAATAAATAAAAATGTTTAATATTTTTCCGAATAAAATAACGCCCTTACAAAAAAAAAATAACAGATTTCATATATCACAATCATTACTACCTCCCCCCCATCCTAAAATAATATTTTATTCATTTATTTATTTTTTTTTGTAAACCATATTTTTTCCATCATCATCATCATTCTCGTCCCATCGTTACATCATAAAAAATTTGACGTAATAATAATAATAATAATAATAATAATAACGAAAATATTGATATAAATGATTCTTTATTCGTTTTCATGAATTTTCCCGCAAAAAAAAAAAAAAAATTTTTTTCTTTTTAATATTTAATCATAATTTTTTATTATTTTCCATTTTCCATTTTTTTATTTTTTTACGTGTGCATTATTATTATTATTATTATTATTATTATTATTATTATTATTATTATTAATATATACATGTATACGGTTTCAATCACGTTTATATATATATATTTTAATAAATTCTTATTTTCCAGACATTATTTAATTATAATTGATTCGTATAAAATTATTAATTTTTCATTTACATAAAATCAAAATTTTTCGTTATTCCCATGCTAATGGCAAAATTTTTGTTATTATTATTATTATTATTATTAAAATGAAAATTATAATATGTAAATATTATCGTATTGTTTTCATCGATTCGAGTTAATTCGAATAATAATAATAATACTAATAATAATAATAATATTATCGTCATCATCGAAGCGATCAATAGTTTTTGTGCATATTTAATAATAAAAATTTAACGTTTTCGTTTTTTTTCCTTTTTTAATTATTACTACGTCATTATCATCATCATCATCATCATCATCATCATCATTATCATCATCATCATCAACATCATCATCATCATCATCATCATCATCATCATCATCATCATCATCATTATCATCATTATTATTATTATTGGTCGATTTGTTCGGTTAGTATTTTCTCACAAATAAATAAATAAAATAATTTTATTTATTTATTAAAAATTATTAATGTAATAAAATATTTCTAAATTATTAACTTATTATTATTATTATTAATATTATTATTAATTTAATAAATAAATAATTTTTTTTATTTTCAATAAAAAACCCGTCGCCTTTTATAAATTATTATTAACATTTTTTATTAATTTTAAAACCATTTATTTAAAAACGAAAAAAATTTAACATTTGGCAAAAATACAAAAAATAAATAAATAAATAAATAAATAGATAAATAGATACATAAAGAAAAAAAAGCAGAAGAAAAATAATAATAATAATAATAATATTTATTACGTAAATACATATATATTTTTATTTAATGTACAAAAAAAATAAA